AATGTTTTCTTTATTTTCTCCATTTTTAAGGTCAATTTTTAAGACTGGACTGTGGGCACCAGAAAACAAGCTTTATCTCCATTTTTGGAGTACATAATTTTAAACATAATAAATTATATTATGTAGTTTCTTGTTTGCTTGTTTTTGTCCTTGATCATCATTGATTGGGAAAGGTGAATTAAAGTTCAAACTATATGTACATTTCATTGCCTCTTTATGTCTTTTGAAGTCTTTTAAATTAATAAATGCTGAATCTATGTTGTTTGGATGGCATATGTTCATAATCATAATTGCATCATTGCAAAATGCTCATTTTAGCATAATGAAGTGCCCTTTTTTCTTAATTTTGTGACATAAATTCCACCTTTGCCAATATTAATATTATGATAACTTTTTTGGTATATATATCTGGTTTACATTTCCTGTCCATTTGCTTATGTTTGGATTTTTTTTAATGTTGAAATAGTTACAGATTCATAGAAAGATACGCAGAAATGTACAAGTGAATCAATGAACGTTTCACACAGCCTTCTCCAATGATAACATCTCACATTAACTGTAGTATAATATAAAACCAGGAACAATCCACAGAGCTTACTCAGATTTTGTCAATTATATATGCATTAATTACTGTGAGCATGCATATAAGTTTACCTCATTTTACCATGTGTATAGTTTTATGTATGGACCATCACAATCAAGATAAAAATTACACAAGCACCATAAAGCTTCTTTGTACTACTTTTTATTCCCCCCATCTTCACCCTATCTTTAACCTCTCATAACTAACTAATATGTTCTCCACTTCTATAATTTTGTTTTGAGAATGTTATGATTAAAATAATACAGTATGAAATTTAAGATCAGCTATCTTCACTCACTTGAGGTTTATACAACTTTGATAAACCTGAGGTTTATACAAGTTGTTGAATGTAAAAGGAGTTTGTTCCTTTTATTGCTAACTTGTATTTCATGATGTGAATGTGCCATTTTGTTTAACCATTCACAAACTGAAGAACATCTGGGCAGTTTCCAGATTTCAGCTGTTATGAATAAGTTGCTACTATGGTTTAAATGTGCCCTTCAAAGTTCATGTGTTGATAACTTCATTCCCAATGCAATGGTATGAGAGTGGGAGCTTTAAGAGGTGATTATCACGAGTGTGAGTATCTTATCCTGAGAGTGAATTTCTTTTAAAAACAAGTTCAGTCCCATCTTGCACTTTCTCTCTCTCTCTTTTCATGCATATGAGTGAACACAAGAGACTGGTCTCTTGCCTTTTCACCTTCCACCTTGGAATGATGCTCAAAGAAGTCCCTCCTAGATGCCAGATCCTCAGTGTTAGATTTCCCAGCCTCCAGAACCAAGAGAAAGAAACTTCTGTTCATTATAAATTACCCAGCCTGTGAGATTCTGTTACAGCAGCACAAGATAAACCGAGACAGAAAATTGGCATAGATAAGTGGGGCTATTGCTATAATAAATACCTGAAAATGTGAATGTGGTTTTGGAATCGAGTAATGGGTAGAAGCTGGAAGAATTTTGAGGAGCAGGCTATACAATTTCTAGATTGCCATAAATGGAGCATTAAGGGTGATTCTGGTGAGGACTCAGGAGAACAGCAGATATAAGGAGAGCCCATAGCTTCTTAGGTATTACTGGTTCATTCTTGTTCATGACCAGAATGTTGGTAGGCAAATGGACAGTAAAGGCCATTTGGATGAATTCTTCAATGAAAATGAGGGACAAGATATTGGAAACTGGAACAAAACCATCCATGTTAAAAAGTAGAAAAGAATTGGCTCAATTGTGTCCATGCTTGAGGGCTGTTTGGAAGGCAGAACTTAAGTGCAACAACTAGAATATCTGCTGAAAGAAATTTCTAAACAAAATATTGAAGGAGCTGCATGACTTAACTGCTTACAATAAAATGAGAAAGGAGAGCAATAACTTAAAGATGGAATTGGTAATGAAAAGGGAAACAGTGTAAAGTTTGCAGCCTAGCCATACAAAAAACAATAAAGAGTGTGGCCAAGAGACTCTTTGATAATGGAATTAGTAAAAATAGAATGAAGACAAGGTAATTTTCTACCTTAGTAATATGTCCAAAGGAATATATACTTTATATGCTAGTAAAAAATGTTAAACCACTTCGAGTAAAATACAGAAACTTTGCTCTCTCCAAATTTTTTTGTTGTGACAAAATACAGATAACATAAAATTTACCAGTATTATCACTTAGTGCATTCACAATATTGTGCAACAATTACCACAACCCAGTTTTAGCACACTTTCATCACCCCCAAAGGAAACTTTGTAGCCATTAAGCAGTCACTCTTCACTCTTCCGCTTCCTAGTCCCTGGAAGTCACTAATCTACTTTCTGTCTCTACGGATTTGCCTATGCTAGATGTCTCTATAAATGGAATAATATAATTTTATGTCTATTATAGTACAATGTTTTCAAGGTTTATTCATGAGTGAGCTGTCTCAGCACTGTCTTCTTTTTTATGGCTGAATCATATTCTATTCAACTGCTTTGTGAAAGAGAAGCTTTAATTGTTGAGTCATTGTATGTTGTGTCCATTTAGGGATGGGACTATGATGAAGTGAATGAGTCAAGTGAGGCACAAACTTATTTCCAGCCCTAAATGTAAAGGGTACCAAAAAACTCAGTAACCGTGATAAATAATACCTTAATTCAACTTAAAATATTAATGCAAAAGACACATGCTGAACAAAATAATCACTATTTTAAATAAAGACAGGGTAAATATACTGATGTTTCATTTAGATTTTGGCTCTAGTCTGGCTTGGCACATCACTTTTACTGGGGCTGCTTTTACTGAAAATATTGGAATTTTGTTCATCATGCATGTTTATATCAATTTTGATTTTTAACAAATATGATCTTAGGAACAGTATTTATCTGGATTGCTGAGTTTTTTGGTGCCACCTTAAATTTGGCATGAGGGGAGACTGTCTCATTTGTCTTGTCTTAATCCTGGTCCCTTGTCTATTTGTTCCTGCAAACTAGCTTGCCTTATATATGTTAGTAAAGCAAAATAGGATGCCAGAAGGAAGAAACAAAGAACGAGATAGAATGATTTCTGAAATGAAATTAAACTGAATTAAAAATTTAGTGAAAGTCCTGAAAAATAAAGCCCAATCCTCAAGAAAATATAACCAAAGACAATGATATCAAAATATGAAAAAAATTTTTTTTAAATTAGGGAAATACATTAGAAAATCTAACGTCAGACTATTAGAAATTCCAGAAGAACAAAATCAAAAACCCAATGAAGCAGAAGTATTTATTAAATAAATCACATAAAAAAATTTGTAAGACCTCAAAGATACATTCCCCTCCTAGAAAGGCCCAACAAATATCATGTTAATAAATAATATAAGATTCAAACTTAGTGATATCATTGTGAAACTTCAGAACACCAAGGATAAAAATATAGCAAGTCAAAAACAAATTACATACAAAGGAATGAGTATCAGAAAGTCATCAGGTTATTGAAAGGACACGTTAGGAACAGCCAGAGCATCACTTGTTGACCCTCCAAGATACTCTGCCCCATGCTGGCTACGTGCTGTGCCTCATTGTGAATGAGTGAGTTATGTCTGAAAATAAAAATACAATAAAGTTAAATGACACCTGTGGATAAGGTTACAGGGTAAGTCTGAACCAGGTAGCCTAAAATTGCAATTGAGAGTCTGAAATACTCAGATCAGGTAGGCGGTAAGTCGTATCCTTAGAATGCTGTGTGAACAGGACTCTCCCTTTTTCCATGTAGTTTCTTTCACAATTATACAAGGTATAGTCTCTAGAGGAGCTGGGACCTGGTTTACGTATTCACTAAAGTATATGTAGCAATGATTACATGGCATCAATTAGTCCTTTGTAATAACTTATTAAATGAATATATGAACCAACATTTTATCTTTAAGGCTCGTCCCTCATTATCCTATGAGGCAGGCAGATATCATGTAAACAAACTGTTCCTAGGTAAACTGGAAGTCAGGAGAATCCTGGCATGGCATGAATCAGGACTGGCAAAGATCACAGAGGGATCCAATCTTTTCAAGTGCATATTGAGAATTTGGATGTTTCTCTTTGGCCCAATTCATGGTACATATTTGGTTTTAATTAATAACAAATACTTTAATAAAGCATTTGGGAGCACAGAACAATTTAATAACCCCCCAAAATGCTTGCTCTCAGGTCTCATTTCTAGCCCAAGTCCCTTTATTAGTTTTAGACTTACTTGAATGTCTTCCAACAGCTTAAAATAGCTGTTTGCAGGAAAAGTCAACACATCTATCTTCAGGGTTTGAAGAAAATATATTTTTGGCATTTCTATAGTTTCTGTCTCATTTTGGTGAGTTTCTGGAATATATTTTTAACTGCTTATTTCTAATTCCTGTAATGAACTGAATCTCTCCTTTCATATGTATGTGCCCAATACAGCCTTATGAACCGTGGAAGGTCTCAATTAAATGCTTTTTAATTAACATTGCCATTTCCATTCCTGGTTTCATTTGGAGTAAGAAGTGTCCTCTAGTCTTTAGCAGATGCCTTGAGGTACTTGACAGCACACTGTTGTGAAAAATGTTAACAGACACACCAAGTGAAGACTCCTTCCTTTCACCTAAAGAGATATCCCAATTTTTAAACTACTTCCAGATCTATCCCTTCCCTGTCCCCAGGAAGAGGGAGCACAGCAAAACTGTGTTGTGTTGTTGCTTTAAGTCTTATTAATCTAATTTTTCATTATTTTTTAATGTTTTCCTCTGGTAAATGTAGCAAATAAGCGCATGTGATTCACTTCAGCGACTGAGGCAGTTTTGCATTAGAAACAGGCCAAGAGAAGTTTTTTAGTGGACTGTTCTGGCAAATTGGGTTTAGCACAGGATTTGACTTCAAAGGGCAAAATTAATGGTAAAGTGGGAAAAAACTATTTCCGTATTATTAAAAAGAAAGTGGTATATTTTATGTAGACTAGAACCATCATTCTCATGCAAATATGTTCCTCTCTCCTGCTCTGTTTCTGCATTCTGTGAAGAAAAGGTGGAAGAGAGCAGAGACCAATCACATCCTTAAAGTTCTCTTAGCCTAGGAAGACTTTTGGGCAATCCTTTTTTTGCTTTTATTATTATTTTTAATTGATACATAATAATCATGCATTTTTATGGGGTACAGTATGGTATTTTGATACATGTATACAATGTGTAATGATCAAAAAGAGTAATTTGCATATTCATATCTCAAACATTTCTCATTTCTCTGTGTTGTGAACATGCACAAGCTGTTCTTCTAGCTATCTGAAAATATACAATAAATTGTTGTTAATTATAGTCACCCTACAGTGCTATAGAACACTAGAACTCTGAAACAGAATAGAGAACCCAGAAATAATCCACGTATTTATAGCCAACTGATTTTAAACAAAGACGCCAAGAACATTCATTGGGGAAAGAAAAGTCTTTGCAATAAATGGTGCCGGAAAAAACTGGATATTCATATGCAGAAGAATGAAAGTAGATTGCTCTCTCACCATGCACAAAAATCAATTCAAAATGGATTAAAAACTTAAATGTAAGACTCAAAACTATGAAAACTATCAGAAGAAAACACTGGAGAAATGCTTCAAGACATTGGTCTGGGCAACGATGTTATGGAGAAGACCTCAAAAACACAGACAACTTGGGCCACGCGTAGTGGCTCACGCCTGTAATCCCAGCACTTTGGGAGGCCAAGGCAGGTGGATCATGAAATCAAGAGATTGTGACCACCCTGTCCAAAATGGTGAAACCCTGTCTCTACTAAAAATACAAAAAAATTAGCTGGGCGTCGTGGCACACGCCTGTAGTCTCAGCTACTCAGGAGGCTGAGGCAGGAGAATTGCTTGAACCCAGGAGGTGTAGGTTGCAGTGAGCTGAGGTCACGCCACTGCACTCCAGCCTGGCACTTGGTGAGGGAGTGAGATTCTGTCTCAAAAAAAACAAACAAACAAAAAATAAACAAACAAAAACACAGACAACTTAAGCAAAAATAGACAAATGGGGTTATAAAAAACTAAAAAGCTCTGCACAGCAAAGGAAACAATCAACAGAGTGAAGACACAACCAGCAGAATGTGATAAAATATTTGCAAACTGTTCATCTGACAAGGAATTCATGTCCAGAATATACATGGAACTCAAATAAAACAAATAATAATCCAAAAAAAAAAAATGTGGGCAAAGAATCTGAAAAGCATCTCTCAAAAGAAGACACAGAAATGGGTAGCATGTATGTGAAAAAAATGCTCAACATTATTAATCATCAGGCCGATGCAAATCAAAACCACATTGCAACGTCAACTCACCTCAGTTAGAATGGCTGTTACAAAAGGACAAAACATAGCAAGTACAAGAGAGGATGTAGAGTAAGGGGAACTCTTAGGTACTGTTAGCTGGAGTGTAAACTAGTACAGCCATTATGGAAAACAGTATGAAGGTTCCTCAAAGAACTAAAAATAGATGTGTTCCAACAATCTCACGCTTGGGTATATACCTAAAAGAAAGGAATTCGATATATTAGGGAGATAGCTGCACTTCTGAGTTTATTTGCAGCACTATTCACAACCTAAGTGTCCAACAACAGATGAATGGATAAAGAAAATGTGGCACATATACACACACACATATATGCACACACCATGGAATACATACACCATGGAATACTATTCAGCCATTAAAAAGAAGGCTGTTAGGTTCTAGCCAGAGCAATCAAACAAGAAAAAGAAATAAAGGGTATTCAGTTAGGAAAAGAGGAAATCAAATTGTCTCTATTTGCAGACGACATGATTGTATATTTAGAACACCCCATCATCTTAGCCCAAAATCTCCTTAAGATGATAAGTAACTTCAGCAAAGTCTCAGGATACAAAATCAATGTGCAAAAATCACAAGCATTCCTATACACCAATAACAGACTAACAGAGAGCCGAATCATGAGCAAACTCCCATTCACAATTGCTACAAAAAGAATAAAGTACCTAGGAATACAACTAACAAAGGACATGAAGGACCTCTTCAAGGAGAACTACAAACCACTCCTCATAGAAATAAGTGAGGACACAAACAGGTGGAAAAACATTCCATGCTCATGGTTAGAAAGAATCAATATCGTGAAAATGGCCATACTGCCCAAAGTAATTTATAGATTCAATGCTATCCCCATCAAACTACCATTGACTTTCTTCCCAGAACTGGAAAAAAACACCTTAAACTTCATATGGAACCAAAAAAAAAAAGCCCACAGAACCAAGACAATCCTAAGCAAAAAGAACAAAGCTGGAGGCATCACGCCACCTGACTTCAAACTGTGCTACAAGATTACTGTAATCAAAACGGCATGATACTGGTACCAAAACAGAGATACAAACCAATGGAACAGAACAGAGACCTCGGAAGTAATGCCACAACTATAACCATCTGATCTTTGACAAATATAACAACAAAAAAAAACAATGGGGAAAGGATTCCCTGCTTAATAAATGGTGTTGGGAAAACTGGCTAGCCATGTGCAGAAAGCAGAAACTGGACTCCTTCCTTACATGTTATACAAAAGTTAACTCAAGATGGATTAAAGATTTAAACACAAAACCTAATACCATAAAAACCCTAGGAGAAAACCTAGGCAATACCATGCAAAACATGGGCATAGGCAAGGGCTTCATGATGAAAACACAAAAAGCAATGGCAACAAAAGCCAAAATAGACAAATGGGATCTAATTAAACATAAGAGCTCTGCACAGCAAAAGAAACAATCATTAAAGTGAACTGGCAAGCAACAGAATGGGGAAAATTTTTGTAAGCTACCACCCATCTGATAAAGGGCTAATATCCAGAATCACAAAGAACTAAAAGACATATACAAAAAAAAACCAAAAAACAAAAAACAAAAACCCATCAAAAAGTGGGTGAAAGATATGAACAGACACTTTTCAAAAGAAGACATTTATGTGGCCAAGAAACATATGAAAAAATGCTCTTTGGGAGGCCGAGGCGGGTGGATCATGAGGCCAAGAGATTGAGACCATCCTGGTTAACAAGGTGAAACCCCGTCTCTACTCAAAATACAAAAATTAACTGGGCATGGTGGTGTGTGCTTGTAATCCCAGCTACTCGGGAGGCTGAGGCAGGAGAATTGCCTGAACCCAGGAGGTGGAGTTTGCAGTGAGCCAAGATCACGCCATTGCACTCCAGCCTGGGTAACAAGAACGAAACTCCGTCTCAAAAAAAGAAAAAATGCTCATCATCACTAGTCATTAGAGAAATACAAATCAAAACCACATTGAGACACCATCTCACACCAGTTAGGATGATGATCGTTAAAAAATCTGGAGACAACAGATCCTAGAGAGGATGTGGAGAAACAGAAATGCTTTTATACTGTTGGTGGGAATGTAAATGAGTTCAACCATTGTGGAAGACAGTGTGGCTATTCCTCAAGGATCTAGACCTAGAAATTCCATTTGACCCAGCAATCCCATTACTGGGTATATATCCAAAGGATTATAAATTGATCTATTATAAAGACACATGCACACGTATATTCATTGCGGCACTGTTTACAACAGAAAAGACTTGGAACCAACCCAAACGCCCATCAAAGATAGACTGAATAAAGAAAATGTGGCACATATACACCATGGAATACTATGCAGCCATAAAAAACGATGAGTTTGTTTCCTTTGTAGGGACATGGATGAATCTGGAAGCCATCATTCTCAGCAAATTGACACAAGAACAGAAAATCAAACACTGAATGTTCTCACTCATAGGCAGGTGTTGAACAGTGAGAACACATGGACACAGGGAGGGGAACATCACACACTGGGGTCTGTTGGGGGCTAGGGGAGGGATAGCAGTGGGTGGGGAGATTGGGGAGGGATAACATTAGGAGAAATACTGAATGTAGGCGATGGGCGGTTGGAGGCAGCAAACCACCATGGCATGTGTACCTATGTAACAGTCCTGCAAGATCTGGACATGTACTCTAGAACTTAAAGTAAAATTTTAAAAATTAAATTCAAAAAAGAAGGCTGTCATTTGTAGCAACATGGGTAAGTTTGGAAGACACTATGTTAAGTGAAATAGGCCAGTTGCACAAAGGCAAATACTCAGAATGTCACCTAAATGTGGAAGCTAAAAAAGTTGATCTCAGAGAAGCAGAGTTCAGGGTAGTGATTATGAGAGGCCAGGAAGGGTGGAGGTGGGAGAAAGGATAGCTGGAAGTTGGCTAACAACCAGTGCTACTTTATATGAGATCTGTGGATCAGCTGTCAGTCCTCACAGTGGTGGTTACTGTTAATGAGACAAAGAACTTGCAAGGGAATGTAAATCTATTATTACATCACTAAATACACATTTTGACTCAGCTGAAATTTGCAACAAAACTTTCTTGATGAAGGAAGCAGCGTGTTGATTCACATTCTGGTGCAAGCTTCTTACCCCAGTTGAACTGACAGTTTGGATAACACTAGTGTAGTCCATAGTAGAAGGAAAGCTGCTGAACTGACTCCAGAAGAAGCCACTGGCTAGTTTCAGTTGCCAGCAATAGCAACACACTTAGCGGTCAAGAAGAGTTGATGTCGGGCATACCACCATGGGACCCCTAGGGAACCCAAGAGGAGGTTTAAGCCTCAGAAACTAGATCCAGAGGCCAGGTCAAGATCCAAAGGACCCTGGCAAAGGCGGCAGCTGAAATGTGTGGACTTACATGATGTTGGGTTTTCTTCTAATTTGGTCTTGAGGTCTCTCTTTTGAGAATGGCCATAATCCAAGATAGCCACTCTCTAGGAGAGCCCTGGCTGGGACAGAAGTCAGGTTCAGATGTGTTGGTCACATGAGAAAGAGGAGGCAGCACAGCGAAACACCTGGAGAAACAGAAGCAGGTTTTTTTTTTTTTTTTTTAATTACAGATTACAGAGAGAAGAGGGCTGCACATCTTGCAGGGCCAAGGGCAGGGAAGAGTCGGGGGCAGGATGTACACTCTCAACCAGCAGGTGGGGAGTGAGAGAGAGAGTGAGGGACCTAAGAGTGAGCACCTTTACTGGGGTCCCGGGCATGACTCAAGCAGACTTCCCATGGGGAGTCCTAAGGAGTTCTCCTTGGTGGAAGATTAGAGGCGGCAGGCTCAGCTCCTGTGGAGACGTGCTGTGACTAAGAGGGGGTTACTATGGCGTATCTATGCAGTCCATGGGAAACGTGGGGGTCAGCAGGGTGTCAGGTATGTTGTATCTAGCTGTCCCATACAAGGGTGGTCACCAGGAGATGGTTACATAAAGCAGGTATCTGGCTACCTTGAGGAGCTGGGAGGAAGTGGAGAATTGGAATCTGTGTCAAGGGTGACTGAGCCCTGCTTCTGGTATGAGAAAGTCCAACTTAAAAAGAATCCTGAGGCCACATGAAATTATAAGAATTCACTATGCATACTTAATATAATTCAATTTAACATGATTTTGAAGCATTTCACTTCTTCACTGTTTCTTTACTTTTTCTGACAATTTCTGCTCTCCCCTGACTCTGGAAATTATAGTGCCCAGCACTTATTAAATAAATCTAAAGGCAATATTTGAGGTCACCTTTTTTCTTAATGACTTGCATCAGAAGGTAAAGGGAATTTGGGGTTATTAAACCTTTGCACAGGGATTTTGAAAAATACAAAGACTTACATGATGTATTGGCAGAACCTTTTCATTTCCATTGGCAGTGATTTCAGATAACATTTGATGGAGGCATAGAGCACAGTGCCAGTCACTACAGATAAGAGAGTGATGAAAAAGAAACAGTTTAAAACGGACCAAATTAATTACCTGAAGGACAAATCTACCTTGCAGATGTGCTTTATCTGGCCTGCATGTTGCCTTTACACACATGTGCGTGCACACAAACGCACATCTTTCCACACACATATACACGTGTGGGTTTATGTAAACATACTGTGTGTGTGTGTGTCTAGTGAAAAGGAAGTAAAAACTTGGGACCCCAGTTCACTCTGCTTAAGCTGAAAGCTGAGTCATGCAAGAAGCTGCCTTTCCTTTTGTTCCTAAGCAGACAGCTCACAGATCAAAGGTTAAATATCTGCACAGGTAGTAACGTATGTTCATTTACCTAATGTAAGGTGTGGATTTACTGACTATCAGAGAAATATATCATTGACTATTCCCCAACCTGTTGCTTTTCCCTTGGAACATGTGGACTCAGTAATGTGACCACAACCTCCCTCTTTCTCCTTCAGCCTGCTTTTCCCCTTTAAATGTTGAAGCCCTCAAATTATCTTTGGAGAAAGGCACAGACCTGTCTCTTGGGCGTGCATCCTTAACCTTGGAAAAATATACTTCTAAATTGATTGAGAATGGTCTCAGTCATTTTTTGGCCATATATTTTTGAATCTGTCCATATTGTATTGAATTAACCTGTATGGCTTCGTCGCCTGTGGCTACAGTAACAAACTAACAAACTTGGTGTCCTGAAACAACGTACATTTATTTTCTCACAATTCTGGAGGCCAAACGTCTGAAATCAGTTCCACTGGGCTGAAATCCAGATGTCTCCACGGCTGCACTCCCTCCAGAGATTATAGGGGAGAATCCGTTCCCTGAGTCTTCCAGCTTCAGATGGCTCTGACACTTCTCGACTTAAGATCACATCTCTCCAATCTCTGCCTCTGTGGCCCACATCCTCCTCCTCTCCTGCATAAGATCTCCCTCTCTTCCCTGTTATGAAGACACTCATCACTGCATTCTGAGCTGATCCAGGTAAGCAGGATAACTCCCCATTTCAAGAAGATTAATTTAAACCCATCTGCAAAGACTTTTTTTTTTTAATATAAGGCATATGCTCAGGTCCCAGAGATATCTTTGGGGACCACTGTTTACCCTATCACACCATCTGAAATTATTATTTGACTGTTTTTAATCTATAAAGATAACTTTCATATGGTAAAAGCTAACACTTGCCAGCAAATTACTCAAATGTTATGTGAAATATGAGTTTCTGACTTTTCTTGAAAAGTGAGATGATCTGGACACACCGGGTTCCAGCCCTGAGCAGGAACATAGCTGGATGTTGGCAGCGTCTGCTTCTGTTCACGGCTCACCCGTGACTTCCACTCTGTTGTCCTGTCCATGTGCAGGACTTATTTGTCCTCTGAATGGGTATCAGTTTGCAACCTTTGACTTTGAAGCCAGGCAAAGTTGCAGCATTCACACAGGCATTTATAAAACAAAGCATTAAGAACACCCTCAAGGGAAAGATATGTTTGACTGGTTATCCTGCGTTAATCGGGCAGAGATTGGCAGGGGAGGGACGGTGGGGGTGGCAGCGGAGGGTAGAGGTCAGGGCCTTCTAAGTAGGTGAGCAAAGCCTGGAGGTTGGAATGTGTTAGTTACTAAGCCACCTCAGGGTACAGGAATCTTGACCTCGTTAAGCCTGGACCAGAATCAACCGAAACATCAGCCGGCCCATTCTCCGTGATTCTGGAAGGCACCGGACGTTTGTTCCAACAGAAACTTGCGGATACAAATGATAATGCAAGAAGTAGTAATTCTCATTGAGGCTGAAAAAGAAACACACACTTTTGATTACTATTATTGCTGTTTGAGGAGGTTTCATATCATAATCTTGTCAAACTCTATTATTTTTTGAAATTATAAATTATGCCTTATTGAAAAACTGTGGAGGACTAAATATATTTCATTACAAAGAGGTAATATACTTTTCAGAAAATGTATTGTCAATCACTAACAAGTGAGTTTAGCTAAGGTCAGGTTGACATTTTGTAGGTTTTTCATTGACTCAAAGGGAAGAAATGGTAGCAAAGATGTGTGGTTTGTTCTCCCAGGTGAACTGGCGTCTTTGAGAAGAGCAGAAACTGTGTAACTCCCTCCTTTCTTCCTCTCCTTTCTCCTTGCTATGCTTTTTCTGTTCTTATGCCTGAAACAAATCTAGCCCATCAATTAGGGGAAGGGGAAAATGAGGGAGGAAAAAGGCTTGATGTTTTTAATTAAACTATAATTATTTGGGTTTAAATAGTCAAAGCTCTGAGGAGACAAGGTAAAACACCTCCTCAACTCAGAATGTTAGGCAAGAGAACTCAACAGCAAAGGGTCATGGCTATGATTTAATTAACTGTTTTCTCTTGAGAATTATAGTGTGGGTGTTAAGCGTCAAGTTTACAGGTTCTTCTCTGGGAAATACTGAGAGATCAAAGAGTTTGCCAAAGCCTTGAGCATGAAACACATGATTTTGCCTTTCCTTTCTCCTCCATCACACTTTCAGTTACTATCTTTTAATTTTTTATTCATTAAGTCAACAGATACCTCGTGATTATCTATGCCTGCCTGGCACCGGATATGGTGGTAGAGTTACTGCAGTGAAAATAATTAGAATGGTGGTTCCCAGGGGTTGGGGGAGGAGCAATGGGGAGATTTTATTTCTTCCCATGAAAGAGTTTTAGTTTTAAAAGTTGAAAAAGAGCTCTGGAGATGGATGGTGATGACTACACAACAGTATACATGCATTTAACACCACGAAACCCTGCACGTAAAAACAGTTAAGATGGTACATTTTATGCTATGTCCATTTTACCATTATACAAATAATTGAGAAAACATTTAAAAATATTCCTGAATCATGGAGATTATATTCTAGTAGGAAGATTAGTCAATGAACAATACATCAAATAAGTAAGGGAATAATGTTGTACATCAGAAGATAGATGCCATGGAAGAGAGTGATAGGAGTTATGGTGCTGGGGGCTGAGTTGCAGTTTTAAATGGGGTGACTAGATGGACCTCACTCAGAAAGTGATATCTGTGTGAAGGCTTGGAGAAGAAGAGCAAGTGAGTCATGTGGATGTCTTTGGTAAGAAGGAAGAGTGTGTCCTGCAGAGGACAAAGCTAGGACAAAGTCCCTGGGGTGGGAGCACCCTGGTGTATTCCAGGAGCAGCCAGGAGGCCAGTGTGGCTGGAAGGACAGAGAAAGTATAATAAAAAATAAGGTGAGAGCGGGGGCCTTACAGGCTGTGAGGGAATTTTGATTGTGACTCTAACGAGATGGGATAATCTGGGGGATTTTGAGTGGAGAAGTGTTATGACCTGATTTGTGCTTAACAGGCTCACTCTAGTTGCTATGTAGGGATTGGGTGATGGTGGCTCCAGAGTGGTTAACAGGAAGATCAGACAGGCTACTGCAAGAGCCTTGTAAGAGAGGGCAGTGGCCACCTTAGTGGTAGGAGGGGAGGCAGATGTAGTTTTGAAGCTAGAGTCAAAAGAATATCCCCACAAAGATCTTATACTAATTAGAACCAGGAGGCTTGATATTACATTGTATCCCAACTTAATATAATAAAACTTCAGGGAAAGGATCGTGGCACAGAACAACAATAAAATGCTACACCATCCTGCAAATATAATAAAATGAGCAAAACATGTTTAAAAATGAGAAAATCCAATGATAGCACTGAAACTATGCATAGCTCCTATGCAGTGACCTCATCACTCACAGGATCTCTACCACAATGCTCTAAGTGACACTATTTCTCAGCCTTCCCCAGCTAAATAAAGGAAATAGAGCCACATGCATTAGTAAACGTTACTGAAAATTCCCCGGGAAAACAGGAAAGAATATTTATATCTCATGCACAAATTCTAAGAGAAATTTTTTAATTTTATTTTTGCCCATTGATTACAAGATTCTTCAGCCCAATTATCTGACCTCCCCTGATCCTCACCAGGGTCCCTTTACTCTTCAAAAGAGTTAAGGTCTGGCTCTTAGCTTAGAATCCCCTCAAAAAACTCCCCCCCCCAAAAAAAAACCACATAAAAGCTAGTTGGTTGTCCCCTTGGTCCTTAACTGCAGCAACAATCAACTGCCACTGTTATTCAAATATGACTCCAAGTTCTAATTCCCTATTCCAAGCAGTTTATTAAAGCATTAACCCACCAAATGCAGGTCTTTTCTCAGATTGGAGATACTGCTGCTAAAAATGTGTAACATTTTCTATATATTGTTATAAAAGGAAGCTTGCAACTTTATATCATAATTATAGATCACCCAACACATTGGAAAGTTTCCTCCAGAAATAGAAATAGAAGAGTTCATAAAATGACACAGAGCTAGTGGTTTCCTGGAGCCAGTTCATACTGGCTCATGACAGCCCTTTGTGTACAGCTCTTCCCAACTTCACATTCGGTGATATCATGTTGGAGCTTGACATCAACCATGATGGCAGTGTTTACACTACACGAATCATAGCACTGCAAATCAAGACTTTTTTTTTCCCTGAGAATTGATTTACCAACACGCCGCTGGATCCAGTTCTTGCTAGAAGAGATGGTGGCAAAAATTGTAAAAACCTCACTTTTACTCCCCAACTTGGAATGAAGCAGATTGAGAAGTCTGAGGAAAAAGTCTAGCTAAAAATAGAATAGAAATCAAATATGAAAAGCTGTGTGTTGAGTCCATCTAAATATAGAATGAAAATTAAATAACTTGAGACTTCTGGTTCTTCCAAGATGCAGTAGCCCATTTCTCCCAGGTCTTTGGACATAATACAGCAAAGATACAAAATTTCTCAAAGGTAAAAATAAGGCATCTTCCCATAGCTCTTGCGATTTGAGGAACAATATGAAGGTGAGTTTTCTTGGTTTCCTTGATGTCTCCCATGTTTTTCTGATAGGATACTGCAGAGGCCTCCAATCCAACACCATCAGCAGACATAGGTGCATATTCCCCTGGCCAAAAAATGGGAGAAGTCGTGACCTATTTACAAAAAAACTTTTTGATAGTACCTGCCCTTTTCCAGTAAAATACAAATGGAATAACTGCACCTCCCTTTTTGGGGTTTCGATGCATTGTGCAGAAACTTTATGTTGCAAAAACCTCACTTTCCACCAAAGCAGGGTGGCATGTTCTGATTCCCCTACCAGGTAATATGTTCAGGGTTGAGCATGGAGATAATCTTCCCTTCTCCCGCCTGGGAGAAGGAGGTCATGGCAACATTACTATTGTGTGAACAGCTTATCTTATACCTCCTGCCTGCTGGAAGCAGGCCTGGCTACACATCCCTAGTCAGGTAATTGTTAATGGAATCCAGCGGGGAGCTGAGGCTTCACCTCCACCTGGCTGCAAAGGGATATGATAGGAAGCTCACTAGGCAAAGGTAGTAACTATTTGGTTTTACCATCTTCCCTCCAGTGTCAGCAAGGCCCAGTGAAGAGCCTTTAAACCAACTTGGCTAAACAAGGCTAAACAAAGTGGTGCAAAGCAGGGCTGGTCAGCACACCTGTTCTCCCCTCCACCCTGCCCATATGAGTATGGGCCAATGGGGAGCTGATTCTTTACCCAATGCAGCATCAAGACAAGAGAACGTGATGTGATGCAGCACTCTCTACCCCCAATCCATCACCATGGCCAGTGGGGAGTAAAAACTCCACTTCTACCTAAAATCTATGTGGCTGAGTGAGCTTAGAGAAGGCAGGGCTAGTTGGCACTCTGTTTGCCCTCTCCCTGTGGTGCTAGTGGGGAGCTGAGATTCTGGACTTGCCTTTCAGCAGCAAAGCAGTATGAGTAAGTTCTCTGCTTCCCCACTTCCTGGTGGCAGTGAAGCCCACCAGGGAGTTGATCTGATACCCCTGCTCAAAGGTAATGTGGTATGTGAGGCAGTGCCCCACTTTCCCTAGGAAGGTATTGGGGGTGCTGAACTCCCACACAACACATCTTCAGTGAGGTAGTGTGAGTCAGTGCCCTACTTTTGCAAGGGGGAGGTCAGCATTGCCCTGTGGGAAGCTGAACACACTTACCCACCCAGACCTCCTACTACACTACAACATGGGCACTACCTGCTATTAAAAAAAAAGATTAAATAGGACCCAGTGTCTCTAAATATAATATCTAAAATGTCCAATATATAATTATTTTAAAAAGTCACTAGTCATGCTAAGAATTAGGAAAATGACAACATGAATAAGAAAAGATAATCGGCGGGGGGGGTTTCAAGATGGCACAGTAAGAACAACTTGGGATCACAGCTCTCAGTGAATGCTCAGAGAGTGAGTCAAAGCCGCATTTCCAGATGGAATCTTTGTTGCCCACAGAACGGGGAAAGTCCCAGGTGTAGGAAAGACACGGGATGCAAGCGCAGCTGGTTTGGCTATTGCGGCCGCTTCGGCCGGAGCCGCAGCGCAGGCACTCCACAACAATCCGCACAAAACACACGGGCCCGGGTGCCCTGCTAAACTGGCAATCTGAGATTTGGGAGGGCAGATTAGCATATCCATCTGATTAAACGGGACTTGGACAGTGAGCCAGACCAAGAGATTCCTGGGAAGTGGCGTTTGAGCGAGCGCAGTGGCTAGCTGCATGGGAAATCACACAGATCCCGGTGCTCTAACAGTGGGCGACCGAAACACCTGGGAGAGAGCCATCTGTTAAACTTTAAAAAAAAAAAAAGAAAGAAAGGCACTCTGAGGCAGGGAGCCAGGCGAGCGGGCTTGGCGGGTTTCACCCCCACAGGGACAAACAAAACGGCAACTCAAAACGTTCCAGGTGGAGAGATTCACTGCGGGCACAGCAGAACCCAGGACGGTGCAGCTCGGTGGGGGAGGGGCGTTCGCCATTACCGAGGCAATCTGCCCCTACTGAGGTACACTCCCATTGCTGATGCAGCCTGCCATTGCCGAGGCAACCTGCCATAACAGAGAGACTCCGCTGCAGGGTGGAGCTGGTGGCAGCAGGGTGGAGCCTGCCGCAGAGCCCATGGCTGCAGGGCAGAGCG